TGGCCCACCCCCAAGGGGTGGGGACAACGACCATAAAATTCACCATATTTGTTCATCGTCGAAAACTAATGGTCTCACAATCGGTGATAAACTTCTCAACCTCGAGCGACAAAGCCACAAATTCACTGGAGTTGATCAGCTGCTCCAAAAATTTTTCCTGCAAAATATCAAAAAACGTTGTACACCTATCTAAAAGAAAGGCTGAAATTCAATTCTTTAAGTCGTTAGTTTGTTCTTTCGGTTTTTTTCCCCATTTTTTCTTCTTTTGTTCCCATATTCTATTCACTTTGGCTCCATCAAGAACACAAAAGGTCTGTAGACGATACTGCTCACCTGAGTCACTTTGACTGATTTTTTTCTACCAATATCTATTAATATGTAAGTGAAACTACACTTCCAGAGGATACTTCCATATTAATATACATGTAATTTATCAAATATGGCCTTGCTGTCGTTGAGCAGAGGAGTTAAAAAAAAATTTGCCTCCTTATTTTTCAAACATGTCCCTATTAAAACCCTAGGGGCCATGTTTTGAAAAGTTAAAAATCTACTCTACTTCATAAAACTTTCATATAAGTTTCCGTATTTCTAGTCCAGTGGTTCTTGAGATGAATTTTAATGACCAAACCTTTTTTATCCCCTTTGGAAGGGAGCTTAGTTTTTCATATGTGAAATTTAGTATCCAATTTTTTCAATGCAATTTTTTGCCAACTCTGATTAAAATTAACCAAGAGACTTTTTAAAAGGAAGTAAAAAATGTGAAAAGTTTACAGACAGATGAGCGTTAGACAATGGGTGATCAGAAAAGACCACTTGTGCTTTCGGCTAAGGTGAATTATAATAAAAATATTATTTAGTAATGATGCTGGCATATGTTAAATACAAAGCACATGTTTTCCAAGCAATAGACACTTACCTTTACCCTGGCTACAATGACCTTGACACATCAATCGTGGGCATGGTCACATACAGCACACATTTCAATGAGGATGAGGTGACATACTCAGTCTCGGTGATCGTTACATCAGCTGACTCTTCACACAAGCACTAATTTCAGAAGAAAATTCCAAATAAATTACAAACTAAGTTTGTTTTTTCAGTTTGTAATTAATTTTAAAAAATCTTAATTCAATTTTTTTTACCTGGTGCATGCAGATGCTTTTATGATTCTCTTTTGGGTAATCCATCTTCAAAATAAAGTAGTTATGAGCACTGAGCTCACAAAAAGGTACATTTTTTTATTACTTGTAATGTGTTCAACAATTTGATTGATAGATGGTGCTTAACGCCGAGTCGGTCCCCAGTGAGCCTGAGAAACCAAAAAACTCTCAAAACGGATCATTTAACATATTTTCCTGTCAAAATATGGCTGAAATATTGCCGACTCGGCGTTAAGCACCAATCAATCAATCAATCAATCAAATTGTAGAACACATTACAAGAAATTAAAAAAAATGTACCTGCTTTGTATCACTAAATGTATTTCCTTATGATTTTTTCCAATTAGTATCATCCTTTACATCATCCTTATAAAAGTTTATTAGGGAATGACAGGCACAGTACAGCTACGCCACTTCAAAACTTGTGCTTTAGATTGATCTTCAAAATGTCACTGTTTTTTATGATAGCAAATATGGCATAATAAATTTTTATGAAAAAAAAATGCTCCAAACTCATCCCTAATTTTTTTAGACTCAAATCTCATAAAAAAATCAAAAAGAAACAAAAATGTTAATAAATAAATTTTATTATTTGTATAAATATTACTGACACATTTAAGCTTCAGAAATCACAGACATCAGAGAATAAACAGTCTCATAAAATGCATACGAATAAAAAGTTTGGTTTTTAAAATGCCATTATAATAACTTAGACCATGTTGACATAAGAGAGTGAGTTGTCTCCCCTTTAATGACAAGCGTCTTGTTATTGCACACAGAGAAATAATGACAACGTCAGACTGTAGAGGGCGCTGTCACCTCACGTCCCACACATCGTTCATGTCCTGTGTCTTATTATTACACACAGAGAAATAATGACAACGTCAGACTGTAGAGGACGCTGTCACCTCACGTCCCACACATCGTTCATGTCCTGTGTCTTATTATTACACACAGAGAAATAATGACAACGTCAGACTGTAGAGGTCGCTGTGACCTCACGTCCCACACATCGTTCATGTCCTGTGTCTTATTATTACACACAGAGAAATAATGACAACGTCAGACTGTAGAGGGCGCTGTCACCTTACATCCCACACATCGTTCATGTCCTGTGTCTTATTATTACACACAGAGAAATAATGACAACGTCAGACTGTAGAGGGCGCCGTCACCTCACGTCCCACACATCGTTCATGCCCTGTGTCTTATTATTACACACAGAGAAATAATGACAACGTCAGACTGTAGAGGGCGCTGTCACCTCACGTCCCACACATCGTTCATGTCCTGTGTCTTATTATTACACACAGAGAAATAATGACAACGTCAGACTGTAGAGGGCGCCGTCACCTCACGTCCCACACATCGTTCATGCCCTGTGTCTTATTATTACACACAGAGAAATAATGACAACGTCAGACTGTAGAGGGCGCTGTCACCTCACGTCCCACACATCGTTCATGTCCTGTGTCTTATTATTACACACAGAGAAATAATGACAACGTCAGACTGTAGAGGGCGCCGTCACCTCACGTCCCACACATCGTTCATGTCCTGTGTCTTATAAGTACACACAGAGAAATAATGACAACGTCAGACTGTCACACATCGTTCATGTCCTGTGTCTTATTATTACACACAGAGAAATAATGACAACGTCAGACTGTCACACATCGTTCATGTCCTGTGTCTTATTATTACACACAGAGAAATAATGACAACGTCAGACTGTAGAGGGCGCCGTCACCTCACGTCCCACACATCGTTCATGCCCTGTGTCTTATTATTACACACAGAGAAATAATGACAACATCAGACTGTGGAGGGCGCTGTCACCTCACGTCCCACACATCGTTCATGCCCTGTGTCTTATCATTACACACCGAGAAATAATGACAACGTCAGACTGTAGAGGGCGCTGTCACCTCACGTCCCACACATCGTTCATGCCCTGTGTCTTATCATTACACACCGAGAAATAATGACAACGTCAGACTGTAGAGGGCGCTGTCACCTTACATCCCACACATCGTTCATGCCCTGTGTCTTATCATTACACACAGAGAAATAATGACAACGTCAGACTGTAGAGGACGCTGTCACCTCACGTCCCACACATCGTTCATGTCCTGTGTCTTATTATTACACACAGAGAAATAATGACAACGTCAGACTGTAGAGGGCGCCGTCACCTCACGTCCCACACATCGTTCATGTCCTGTGTCTTATTATTACACACAGAGAAATAATGACAACGTCAGACTGTAGAGGGCGCTGTCACCTCACGTCCCACACATCGTTCATGTCCTGTGTCTTATCATTACACACCGCGAAATAATGACAACGTCAGACTGTAGAGGGCGCCGTCACCTCACGTCCCACACATCGTTCATGTCCTGTGTCTTATTATTACACACAGAGAAATAATGACAACGTCAGACTGTCACACATCGTTCATGTCCTGTGTCTTATTATTACACACAGAGAAATAATGACAACGTCAGACTGTAGAGGGCGCTGTCACCTCACGTCCCACACATCGATCATGTCCTGTGTCTTATTATTATACACAGAGAAATAATGACAACGTCAGACTGTAGAGGGCGCTGTCACCTCACGTCCCACACATCGTTCATGTCCTGTGTCTTATCATTACACACAGAGAAATAATGACAACGTCAGACTGTAGAGGGCGCTGTCACCTCACGTCCCACACATCGTTCATGTCCTGTGTCTTATCATTACACACAGAGAAATAATGACAACGTCAGACTGTAGAGGGCGCCGTCACCTCACGTCCCACACATCGTTCATGCCCTGTGTCTTATCATTACACACCGAGAAATAATGACAACGTCAGACTGTAGAGGGCGCTGTCACCTCACGTCCCACACATCGTTCATGTCCTGTGTCTTATCATTACACACAGAGAAATAATGACAACGTCAGACTGTCACACATCGTTCATGTCCTGTGTCTTATTATTACACACAGAGAAATAATGACAACGTCAGACTGTAGAGGGCGCCGTCACCTCACGTCCCACACATCGTTCATGTCCTGTGTCTTATCATTACACACCGAGAAATAATGACAACGTCAGACTGTAGAGGGCGCTGTCACCTCACGTCCCACACATCGTTCATGTCCTGTGTCTTATCATTACACACAGAGAAATAATGACAACGTCAGACTGTAGAGGACGAGGTCACCTCACGTCCCACACATCGTTCATGTCCTGTGTCTTATTATTACACACAGAGAAATAATGACAACGTCAGACTGTAGAGGGCGCTGTCACCTCACGTCCCACACATCGTTCATGTCCTGTGTCTTATTATTACACACAGAGAAATAATGACAACGTCAGACTGTAGAGGGCGCTGTCACCTCACGTCCCACACATCGTTCATGTCCTGTGTCTTATCATTACACACAGAGAAATTATGACAACGTCAGACTGTAGAGGGCGCTGTCACCTCACGTCCCACACATCGTTCATGTCCTGTGTCTTATCATTACACACAGAGAAATAATGACAACGTCAGACTGTAGAGGGCGCTGTCACCTCACGTCCCACACATCGTTCATGTCCTGTGCTAAACTCTCCAACCCTCGTAACGTTTTAAATGTTCCCGAATAGAACGCTAAGTCCGACATCACCAGTCTGAAATCACAAATATAACTTCTTGTGAAGGATTTAGCTACATACAGCGGTGTGTAAATTTAATGTTCATTTATCGGAATATAGGGACAAGAATTAATATGGAATAAAACATTAAAATAATAATTAAGAAATGAACTTCATTTTAATTTGAAGATTCTTGAGGACATAATCTACGTGCCCAATGCCGGCATGCTTTATGATCATTTACCCACGTTGAGGTCAGATATTGATCTATGATAAGGTAAGATATCTACCGAATTATTAAGGTTAGATATTTATCCATGTTGATGTCAGATATTGATTGACCCCTGTTGATGTCAGATATTGACCCATGTTAAGGTCAGATATTGACCCATGTTAAGGTCAGATATTAACACATGTTGATGTCAGATATTTACCCATCTTAAGGTCAAATATTTACCCATGTTGAGGTAAGATATCTACACAAGTTGAGGTCAGATATTTACCTGTGTGGAAGTAAGATATTTACTCCTTTTACCCACCATGGGATAAGATATTTACCCTTGTTGAGGTTGTATTTTTACCCATGTTGAGGACATATATTTACAGTACCCATGTTGAGATCAGATATTTAACTGTGTTTAGGTCGGGCCAGATATTTACCAATCTTGAGGTAAGATGTTTACCCATGTTGAGGTAAGATATTTACCGAATTATTGAAGTTAGATATTTATCCATGTTGATGTCAATATATTGACCCAAGTTAAGGTCAGATATTTACCCATGTAGAAGTTAGATATTCACACATGTTGAGGTCAGATATTTACCCATGTTGTGGTCCTCCATTTTTAGAGACTTCCAGAGTAACTAACTGCTGTCTGATCAGCTTCTTGAAACCGCTGTTAATTTTTGTGAACAGCTCCTATAATACAAACAAACAACCAGTGAGAGCTCGTAAAAATGATCATGATTAATGAACTTTGCCATTCTCAATGAATAAATTTTTCCCTTCACAAATTCTAAATGCCTGATCTGTTTTATGCATGAACACATAACTTAGAAGAGTGTCTACGTATTTAAAAAATACATGAAAAAGTAATAACTTGCACAATTAAAAGTTAATCATAAACTTTTGGCATCTTTTAAATTTAAAATGTTGAATACTACTGGTTAAACTGAGCTGACCTTGATTTGATCTGGCAACAAAATGTCAAGGACAGCTTCGTGCATTTTGCTGATTTGTTTACAGATGGACCTAAAACACATGGAGGGCATAGGGGCCTTCACCTCCCACTGAAAAAGAAACTAAACATACAAAATACACAAAACTCATTATTTTACTTGCAACTGCTGTTTGTTTGAAGTTAAGGTCAAGCCTTCATGATATTTGCATTCATTGAACACAAAGCTTCATAATTGTTTAGATATACATTCAATGTTAAGTTGTTATTTACTGCCTAATGTAAATACAAGAATATTATTATCAGGTTTTTGAATATTCAGGAATTATCTTTAAATTTTAAGAATACAGTTGCTGTTGCTTATTCTTCATACATTTATTAGTCATTCTGTAAGCTGCACCCTTTAATTCCACCCCAGGCGGGGCCCTTGCTGACTGGTCAGTTTTCTAGTTTAATTTTATTATACCAAGGCTTATGCCTGCCCTTAGAATTTACATGCCCTTCGGGCTTGTAAGTGTGCAAATTCCACGTGCCTGCTTCCAATTTTACCAGGTCCCAGGCATCGAACTCCTGGGATTTGTCGAATACTGTGCTAGTCGCCCGCCATACTGGAGGTCCAAATGCTCATATTCCTTCATTGTTCAACCAATTTAAAATTTTTATAATTGCTATTTTGAATTAGGAATCATTATTTTTCTGAATTATAAAATAATTTTCAAGAAGCATCCTTTATTGAAATAAAAATTATTTAATAAAGATTTTCCACAAGAAATATTTCTGCTACATCCTAGTAAACTTGGTGAGACAAGGGAAAATCACCTATTCGACCTCCAATATGGTGGCCCACGGGGAGTACCTCTGACTAAATTCAGGCCTATCAAAAACTATATATATTTTTTTTTAAAGTTTTTTTTTTTAATCAAAACATTTTTTCAGATACGTTTTAATTAAAATTAGATGTTAGATCTGCTTACATACTAATCTAACATCTAACAACATCCCATAGAGGGTCAAATAAGAGGTATAATTCTATCGACCTATAAATATTTTTTGAAGCGAATAAGTTGAGCCGCTCCAAATTTGACTTCTGACATGACACTCTATGGGATATTGTTTGATTTTAGTCTAGTGAGTATGCGAGCTGATCTAACATCTAATTATACCCCCCGCAAACGAAGTTTGGGGGGTATATAGGAATCACCTTGTCCATCTGTCTGTCCGTCCGTCTGTGCAATCGTGTCCGGTCCATATCTTTCTTACAGAGGGACATTAGAATCTACTACTCCACACTAAGATTGCTAATGACCTAAGGGTGTGTCATGACGTTGACCCAAGGTCATTTGGAGAAGTTCAAGGTCACTGGAAGAAAAATTTCATATTTCGTGTCCGATCCATATCTTTCTTATTGATAAACTTGGTAGGTTCTCATTTCACACAAAGATTGCCCATGACCCAAGGGTATGTCATGACCTTATCCCAAGGTCATTTGGGGAAGTTCAAGGTCACTGGAAGAAAAATTTCATAAATCATGTTTGATACATATCTTTTATGGATAAACTTGGTAGGTTCTCATTTCACACAAAGATTGCCCATGACCCAAGGATGTGTCATAACCTTGACCCAAGGTCATTTGGGGAAGTTCAAGGTCACTGGAAGAAAATTTTCATAATTTCTTTCCGGTCCATATCTTTCTTATTGATAAACTTGGTAGGTTTTCATTTCACACAAAGATTGCCCATGACCCAAGGGTGTGTCATGACTTTGGCGCAAGGTCATTTGGGGAAGTTCAAGGTCACTGGAAGAAAAATATCATAATTCATGTCTGGTGCATATCTTTCTTATGGATAAACTTGGTAGGTTCTCATTTCACACAAAGATTGCCCATGACCCAAGGGTTTGTCATGACCTTGGCCCAAGGTCATTTGAGGAAGTTCAAGGTCACTGGAAGAAAAATTTCATAATTCGTGTCATGTCCATATCTTTCTTATGGATAAACTTGGTAGGTTCTCATTTCATGACCCAAGGTGTGTCATGACCTTGACCCAAGGTAATTTGGGGGAAATTCTAGGTCACTGGAAGAAAAATTTCAAAATTCGTGTTTGATACATATCTCTATTATGGAAAAACTTACTTCTGAAAAACCCAGCGGGGGGTAATTTGTCCCGTTTGGACAGTTCTAGTTTTAATTAGATTGGACTATGGAAGAGTTATTCTCTTAGTGTGCTCTTTTGTGAAAAAGTCGGCAAATGTACAAATGTCACAGGATTACTGTTAGAAATGTAACATAAATATGTAAACAATTGGTGGATAGTTGATTAACAAATCCTAACAAAAGCCAAAAGAAATATTTGATTCTTGCAGCCTTTATATACATCAAGTGTAGGAATGTCAACAATATCAATTGTGTTTCTTATGCATCTATTTATTATATGATACATCTATCTAAATACAATACACATGCCTTAGATTTTTTTTTTATAAATTATAGGTTAATAAATTTAAAGTTATCACTCTCCTACGTGTATCATTTCTTCTGTTCTTTAATTGGAATGACAAAAACATTCAATATTAAAATTGGATAAAGATTAGCATGTTTTGTATTATCTGCAACGCCCATGCTATTCAAGACACGACCAATCGTGCCTTTAATTTTAAAGAGTTCACTAAAGGAAATAAAACAGTTATAACAAGACACCTCTGATATGATGACAATAAATTGATTTAAATTAAGGAGATGAGTCGTTTATTTCAATCACAATATGGATCCTTACTGGCTATTACATGTACATCTATGCTAAATAATCCTGGCAGTTTATTTCTTGACTTGAATCTGAACACAGGAGTCTGACTGCAATTTTTGATCAGAGGATTGCTATGTAATCATGTATAGAGAAAAACAAATAAAATTGGGAATATGATCAGATTTCCTGATCACAAGATTTCAATAAATTTAGGAATAAAGAAATTCAGACACGTAAATGCTTTGTTTATTTAAAAATAATATATGTAAAAAGTACATTAGCATGTTTATTCTGCTTAATAATTTTTAATAGACCCGTAAAGTTGCATGTGAACTAATAAAAGTAAGAAAGGTCTAGTCCTGCCAGACTAAAGCCTAAGAAATGTTAAGTGTTTCATCCCCGAAGATCAAATTGGTACATATTTACTCCATTGCCATTTTGAAAAATATGTAAGTGCCATTTTGCATAATTTTGAAGTGCCGTTTTCATTTGCACTCAATTGGAATTATGCACCATGTAATCTAAAAATGGTGAGGAAATTCCATGGGCCTTAGGGACAACCCTTAGATAGATTGAATTTTATGTGCAAACAATGAATATATAGATGTACTTTAATGAAATTCCTTCCATTTAAAAATGTTCTTTTTATGCCCCTCTTCTAAGAAGGATGGACACAATGGTTTCCTGTTGTCTGTCGGCCCACCAAGTCTCTGTTCATTTCCTTTGCAGCAGTTGCAGATATTGAAATAAAATTTGGTATACATATTTTGATGAGAGTATCTAGGTTAAGTTCTGTTTTTGGTACAATAGCACCATTTTTTACAGAGTAATGCCCCTAGGAGTTAGAAAAATTCCAATTATTTGCAGTTTCCTTCATTTTTTCACAGAGGTTTTACATATTGAAATGAAATTTGGTAAACAGATTAATCATGAACATATCTAGGTTAAGTTCTGTTTTGGGTATAATCGCATTATTTTGGACAGAGTTAAAACCCATGGACTTAACAATTTTTTGCAGTTGAGTTTTTGCTCATTTTCTTTGCAGAGATTTCACATATTCAAATGAAATTTGGTATACAGATTATCATAAGAGATCTAGGTCAAGTACTGTTTTTGATACAATCATCCCATATTGTACAGAGTTATGTCTCTTGGCCTTAGAAAAATTATAATTATTTGCCGTTTCCATTCATTTTCTTCGAGGTTTCACATATTGAAGTGAAATTTAGTATACAACTTTATCATAAGAGTATCAAGGTCAATTTGTGTTTTGAATACATTCGCACTATTTTAGTCAGAGTTATGCCCTTTGGAGTTATATAAATTTAAATTATTTTGGGGAGGGGCTCATAAACATCTGTTGTTTAATTAGAAATCCCTCACTTGTTTGTGTTTTTATATAGAATATGAAGTAAAACTCCTAATTAAAGTAGAAGTAATATTTGGATGAAGCTAAAAAACATTATGTAGAGTGAGGCTTGTCCAGCCCACTGAATTTTCCACTCATTGACAAGACTTGGTGTTTGTTTATTGTGCAACATGGATAACAATGCAATAAGTATGGAGTAGTGTTTCCATGTCCTTTTGCCCTTGATTGGCTATTCATCTAAAAAAAAATCCTCATTTTGTGTATGATCTATGAATTAGGATTATTGTAGGTAAATGTTATGTGTCTATAAAATAATGAGTCTAAATTGAAAACAAGTCAGACAAGTTAGCATTTTCAAATGCATATGACATTTTATGTTATACACCCAGATTGTTAGATCTTGGGTGAATATTGTTTTTGTCCTGTCTCTTTGTCTGTTTGTCTGTCTGTTGTCAACTTTAATCTTCACCATAACTTTTGAACCATGCTAGGTAGAGACTTCATATTTTGTATGCATACATAATTACTTTATTAAGTTCTTTCAAATGACTTCAAGGTCAATGACCTTGTGATCTTGACTGTGACCTTTATGCTAAAAATAGGTTTTTTTAACTTTTGCTTTAATTTTAGAACTTTAAATTAAACTTCACCTCTCAAGTCCTATCTTAGGCCCAGAGTTAATTATATATAGGTAATTTTAGATTTACAATTAAAAAAAAAGGAAGTTTTTTTTAAGGAATAGGAATACTGATTGAAATTTTTTTGTTATGTTTTGAAGAAACTCCATGATGCCACGTAAGAAGAACTGGAGGATGGCATCGGTGAAGATGGGGAACCAGAGTCGTGGCAGCAGTGGCAGTAGACTCGTGGATACTGGCCACATAAAAAATAGTACGAAAAACCCAACGATTAACGCAACAGATGACGGACCTTTTAGACTCGTGGACACTAGCCACGTAAAAATAAGTGCTAAAGACCGGGGGGATACTGCCTCCTTA